TCAAATTGTATGTATTTACTCACTTATTTATTTAATTAAACTTTAATGCGAGGCCATGGATGGATCACAGTTCAAGGTGAATATAGAGAAACCACGGAGCCAGCAAGGCACAGAAGAGTAAAGAGAAATAAGGAGAAAGCAAATAACCATCACTGACTGGTGGTTGCTGAGGCGTTAAGTATTGTCTGCTGTAATGGCCAATTTTGGCTGCTCTGGAGGGGGGGGGGGAAGGGGACGTAGTGGAGAAAGAAGAAGGGATAGGAGAAATGGTCGAAAGATCAGGAGGAAGAGGAAGAGGAAGCAAGAGGAAGAGGGAGGGAGAGGGAGGAGAGAGAGGGGGGAGAGGAGAGGGAGAGAGAGAGAGAGAGCGAGAAAGAGATAAGAGAAAAGAAAGAGCAAAAGAAGAAAGACACATACACAGAAAGAGAAAAGAAAAGAAAGAACTGGAAAAAGGGAAAATCAACAAAGAGGGCCCAAAGAAAAAAAAAAAAAAAAAAAAAAACGACGAACCCAACACAAACAAATCGTGATCAAATCTTTCTCTTAAGATTCGACCCTCTCTCTCGCGAAGCTCCGAAACATCTTCGTGGTTCGAACTTTCAACGAATCGGATCATCAAAACGTCTCATCTCATGGCTAGATCAGTAGCAACTCGAGGAGGTGTCAATGGCGTCTGTTTTGATGATGTTCAATGAAAAATAACCATTAAAACCATTATTTTCCATCCTTTTTGAAATCTGAAAAGACCAAAATGATCGACCGTATTCACAAAGCATCCGGGACTTTGGTGACGTCATCAAAATAAACCCCACGTGCTTTTTTTCCCCAAAAATATAAGCAGACGTCATGACACCTCCTTGAGTTGCTACTGATCTAGCCTTTTCTAAAAGAGAGAGAGAGAGAGAGAGAGAGAGAGAGAGAGAGAAAGAGAAGAAAGGGAAAGAGAGAAAAAGAGAGTGAGAGAGAAAGAGAGAGAGAGAGAGAGAGAAAAGAGAAAGAGAGAGAAGAAGAGAGAAAAAGAGAGAGAGAGAGAGGAAGAACAGAATCAGACACAATGACACCTCCTCGAGTTGCTACTGATCTACCCTTTCCCCAGCGTCTCATGTGAAGAATAGCAAAGCGCCGTGTTTTGAACAGGTGTAGTCGACTGTGTTTACCCACCGTGAGGAACTATTAAATAACAAACTATTAAGTACCTCTGATGCCGGTTCTTGAGAGGCTTTCGATTCGATTAAGAGATTAAAAAGAATAAAAAATGGCAAAAAAAAAAAAGGAAAAATCATGGTAAAAAAAAAAAAAAAAAAAAAAAAAGAAAAGAAAGAAAAAATAAAAAAAATAAAGAAAGAAGAAAAAGAAAAAGTAAAATGAAATAAGTAAAAATGAAAACAATAAATAATGGTGTTGACGTTTCACTCGCTTCTTGCGTGTTCTTGTCATATTTCAAAGGCCTTTTTTGTAATTGGAATTATACTATACTTGTCTTTTATTCTGTATTTTTTATTTATTTATATTATTCATTTACTTATCTAATTATTTACGTTCATGAATTTATCTATTTATTTTGTTATCCATCCATCTATTCGCTATTCGCATGAATTTATCTATTTATTTTGTTATCCATCCATCTATTCGCTAATCTATTATCTATCTACCAATCTATTAATTTATTTGGTAGCATTTGAAGGTATATCGGAATTTTCATTGCATACAGTAACGAAAATGTTGGCGATGAGAGTAAATATGCCAATGATAATAATAATGATCATAATGATAACGGCAGAGATGATGTGGATGATAATGATAAGAAATAATAACCATGATGATGATAATGATAATGTGCGTGCGAGAGAGAGAGAGAGAGAGAGAGAGAGAGAGAGAGGAGAGAGAGAGAGAGAGAGAGAGAGAGAGAGAGAGAGAGAGAGAGAGAGAGAGAATGACATAAAAAGACAGAGACAGAGAGAGAAAGAGTGAGAAAAAAAGACAGAGACAGAGAGAAAAATATCACAAACAAGACTTCCACCATCCCAATATTCAAAATACCTCCAGTAATTCTATAACACACCGAAAGCGCATACATCCCCAGCCAATAACACGACGTCCTTTTGGGTCATAAGCGACTCACAACAGCTGACGAGGAACCTGTTCGCCTGATTTATGTGGCGATAAAACAGAATCTCCGTTTTTACAGCCGTGTTCTCGCTGCTTGAAGATGGCGTTGGCGCTCACTGACGATGCGCAGGCCAGTCCTCCCGGTAAACAGAGGCGCGTGTAGCAAAAGCACAAGCAGCTTTCGAAGTCATGGAGGCGATGCTCGTCTGTTTGAATGCGTGGTGTTCGATCCTTTTACTTCGTCGTTATTGTAAAAAAAAAAAAAAAAAAAAAAAAAAAAAAAAAGTATAAGCAGTTTTCGAAGTCATAGATACGATTCTCATCTGTTTGAATGTGTGGTTTTCGATCCTTTTATTTCATCGTTATTCTAGGTAAAAAAAAGAAAAAAAGT